CCTCTATCACTTCCCTCCACATACCACCTCTCTCGCCTACCACCTGTCGTTCCTTTTTTGTGTTTTATTTAATAAGTTTTATAGTATATGATGGTCACCTTATTAATAATGTAACATTTTGTGTGATTACAATTACACTACACACACTTAGTCAAAGTGACCAGTTATTAGTGTTGATATTAATGGGATAAATATTAGATAAGTTTATTGGAGTTTGCTATAAAATATGTGACTATAATTATAAATTGTGAGTGTCAAGAAGGGTTTATAAGTTGTATATATGTCAATTAGAGGAACAAATAATTTGCTAACCACACCCTAGTCCTTCAATGGAAAACGCATCGAAATGCGCAGGGTCGAGAATTGGCGAACGCATTCGGCGGGAAAATAAATGCGGCGACGCGCGTAGAATACTCGTACGCCACTCTCGGGCACGTACGTTTCCATTTACTAAAGTTAGGTGGGTTTGTTTGGGTGGCGTGGGACCCAGAGGGCATCGGCAGGCGGTCGCGTCCGGCGGTTGCCGTGCGAGAAATTGGGAGGACGGGCTTTCACGTTGCAGAAATTAAGGACTGGCATCTTCCGGCGGAACCACAGCCCGCGATTAAGGGAACACTCGGGTTTGACGCGCACGGACCGAGCGCGCGGCTCCTCCGCCGTACATTTCGTCGTCGGTAACAAGAGTAGTCGATTGAAGTCCCCTCTTTTGCCTGGGTGGATGTGTCTCTGCTAACCGTTTTAGGCAAGTGAATGTTTGGTACAGCAGATTTGGGGATTCATTGTAGGGTAGACTTGCCATACAGTGCAGTGTTTTAATTGGTATTATATTGCGGCGATCGGCGACCACGGAGACCGAAGCCTCACTCGAACGTGTCTCGGGAGGCGTGGGGTTCGGTCCGAGGCCACTCGTAGTCATTCTTCGCGGGTATAGTCCGGAAGGCCTTTCGACGTAACGTCTCGTCGAAATTCCGGAGCGGTCTTCTCGTCGCGGGGCGCGCCGGAGGTCGACGCGACGACGTTCCCGGAGGGGTCGTCGTCGTCGGGTATTTGACGTGCATCCGCGAGGGCCCACGAGACTCCCCGAGGCCACTCGACCCCCGGAGTAGAACGAGGGCACGCGTCGAATCGGCGAAAGTGCGCAAGAA